TTTAATGTGAAATGATGTTGATGTAACAGTTTAAATTTATTTTTTCTTAAATTATAATTGGTATTGGCAAATTCAAGGCTCATAATTATAGCAAGAAAAATTTAAAATTGTTCATAATGTTAAAATTCGAAATCTAATGGTTCAGAAAGTAAATTACCAATTAGGTAATTTTGGGGAAAAATTAACATTATACAAACCACTTATTTTGAAAAATTTGACTCTTAATGAAGCAATGAGTATGTCACTGAGTCCTGATTTTAGTTTTTGTGTGATTATGTTAAAATAGTATTATTAATTCATCTTTTCATGAAAAACTTTATTTTTAAAGGAGTAGCGGCTTGGTTCCTCCTAAGAGAATTTCTAATGTGTATTACTGAATTGTAACTGGCTTGTATTAATAGGGAGCTAGGTAAGATATGAGTTGAAAAACTCTGAAGGAAGAGAGGTGGTTTTAGAGACTCTGGATAAGATGACCTGCTTTGATGTAGTAGAAAGTTTTTGAGTCTCTTTCTTGGTCATTATACTGAATGCTTTGAGAATTTTAGTTATTTAACTCTCTTAAGAACTTTGCACAATTAATTTTATCACATATTCTAACTGTATTGTACATACATTTTTGAACAGATTTTTTTCTTTTGATTCCCAGGATTGAACTCAGGACGTTGCACTTGTCAAGTACTTGTCAAGTGCTATGCTACTGAGCTACACCCGTGGTCCTTTTAACAGATTTTTAAAAAAGTCTTTCTCTCCAATGATGACCAAACCATCCAGTTATCAGTAGTAACAAAGTAATAGATTTTTGTAAGATGCCAGTTCTTAATAAAAATGGTTGGTAACCTCAAATAAGTTAGCAATAAACAATGACTTTGTTCTTTTTCATATTATACTCATTACCCTACCTGTATCTCCTATTTCTCTGTAAATGTGATGGTGATGTCTTTAGCTCATGTCTTTTCTTTTTCCTTTCTGTGTTGGGGATTGAACCCAGAGCATTTGCTCTGAGTTATATCCCTATTAGCTTTATTTTTTTATTTTGAGACAGGGTCTTGCTAAATTGCTCAGGTGGGACTTGAATTTAAAACCCTCCTCCCTGCCAGGTGGGTTTCTATAATCCCAGCACTTGGGAGGCTGAGGCAGGAGGATTGCCCAAGTTTGAAGACAGCCTGGGCTACATAGTGAGTTGAAGGGCAGCCTGAACTACATAGCAAGATCCTGTTTCAAAAACCAAACCAAACCAAACCAAACCAAAACAAAAAACCACAAACCCTCCTGATCAAATTTCCAAGTGCTTGGGATTATATGCATGCAGCAGCACACAGCTAATTTATGTTTTCCTGCACAGGGATAACCTAAGCATTCCAAGCGTGTACAACAAAAATATTTAAATCAGTTAGGTATCAAATACTTCTTTGGGCTTATTGTATCACTCTTATAAATTTGAAGAGGTATAATTTCATCAACATATGAGAAACATTTTCTTCTTTTATAAAATATGTTTTAGTACATGTTTGCTGACATGATGATTACATTCATCATGGGTAGTTGCTACATGTACATAGACTTCTTAATTCTTTTTACTTCCCTTTGCCTTCCCTTTCCTTGGGAATCCTCCATATATAGTTCCTTTTCCCATTTGCACAGGATCTATTTCTTGTTTTCTATTATCTTTTATCTTGTTCTTTAAATTCTTTATACTTTTGGTTTACTAAAAGGAGAAACCATACAATGTTTATGCTTCTATATCTGATTTAGTTTCTTAATGCTATAGTCTCAAGGTGCACCCATTATCCTACAGATGACTTGTTTAATCCTTCTTCATGGATAAGTACTCCATATAGCACTTATTTATGTAGGCCACTTCCAAGATCTTAGCTGTCATAAATTTTGCTGCTTAAACATGGAAATGTATGTATTATTGTAATATGATATTTTTAAGTCTTTTGGGAAGATAACTAGAAGGGAAGTAGTTGGGTCAAATGGAATTATTATTTTTAAGTGTTTATTTTTGTGAATCTCCATACTGATTTCCATGGTCGTTGTACTACTTTATATTCTCACCAACAATGTAGAAATGTTCCTTTTCTTCCACAGCGTCACTAGCATTTTATTTCTTCATCATAGTCATTCTTTCTGGAGTAAGATGGAAACTAAATTGTTTTAATTTGTATTTCCCTAATCATCAGAGTTATTTATTTATTTGTCATGTATTTATTGCCCATTTGTACTTCTTCTAAGAAGTGTCTATTCATTTATTTGCCCATTTTTGATTGGGTCTTTTATTTTGGGTAGTCTAATTTCTTTGAGTTTATATATTCAAGATATTAGTCCTTTGGGCAATGGATAGCCAGCAAAAAATGTGTTTTCCTCATTCTGTAGGTTGTCTTTTTACTATATTTTTCCTTTTACTAGTTTTTCCTTTTTCTTAATGTTATTTCTTGTGTAAGAGGAGTTCTATTTGGAAAGTGATTACACCTGTTCTTCAAGAGTTTTTCTTAGTTTATCTTTCAGCAGATTGTGTTTGTTTTGAGGCAGGGTCTCACTATATAGTTCAGGCTGACTTTGGACTCACTTATGTAGCCCAGGCTGGCCTTGAACTCACAGCAGTCCTCATGCCTCAGCCTCCCAAGTGCTAGGATTTTAAGCATGCATCTTCATGCCCAACCCTAAGTGTTTCTGCTTTCATATCTAGGTCTTTGATCCATTTTGATTTTAATTTAGTACATGGTAAGAGAAATGGGGCTAGGTTCAATCTTCTGCATATATATATATATATATAATAAAAATTTTTAAAAATATTTTTTCTTTATTGGTACATTTTAGGTATACAATACAGTTACATTTCTTTATTGGTACATTTTAGGTATATAGTACAGTTACATTCATCATTGGGATCTTCTACCTTTACATGATGTATTTTGATTCTTATTTTTCCCCCATTCCCATGGCCTCCCTTTACCTCCTCCACCCTTCCCTATTTACAAAGACTTTGTTTCTATTTTATTCCTTTTATCTTATTTTTTTCTTTTCCCTTCATACCTTTCCCCTGCCCCTCCCACTTCCCCAACAACTTCAGGCACTTTTTCCTATTATACAATATCAATTATACATTTTGATTCTTATTTACACTTTTAATTTATCACACCAGAGAAACTATTCAGTATTTACACATGTGTGTCTTATTTATTTCACTTATGAGTATGTCATTAATGTGCATCCACTTAGCTATAAATGTCTCTAGTTTCTCTTTCTTTATGGCTGAGTAGTACTCCATTTCATTTTTTTTTTAAAGCACATCTTCTTTATCCAGTCTCCAGTTGATGAGCAATTTAGGCTGTTTCCAAGCTTTAGCTATTACAAACTGTGCTGCTATAAACATGGGTGAACATTTATGATAGTGTAATAGTATGATTCTTTTAATTCTTATGGAAAGATACCCAGCAGAGGAATAGCTGAGTCAAATGGGACTTCTAATTCTAATTGTTTAAGGTGCCTCCATCTTGATTTCCACCGGTCTCCATCTTGGTTGCACTGGTCTGCACTCCCACCAACAATGGAGAAGGGTTCCTTTCTCCCCACAGCCCCGCCAGCATTTATTATTGGTTGATATCTTAATAGCAGCTATTCTTTCTGGGGTGAGGTGGAATCTATGTTGTTTTCATCAGCATCTCTTGAATGACCAGTGATGTTGAACATTTTTTTATATGTTTATAAATTCTGTTGATGGTTTCTTTTGCAGTGCAGAAGCTTTTTAATAAGATGAGATCGCAGTTGTTGACTCCATATTTACAAAAGCCCTATTTCCATTTTTCCTTCTTTTCTCATTTTTTGTTTTTCCTTCCTTCCTTGCCCTTTCTTCTCCTTCAGTTCCCCCTCCCTAGTGAACAATTTTTTCTCATTTCATATTGTCTATTATACATTTTGGTCCCTATTTATATTTTCAGTCTTTTACAGCAGAGAGACAGTGTGATATTTACATTTGTGTTCAATTTGTTTCACTTAAGAGTATAGCTTCAAGGTATATCCATTCACTATAAATGTCTCCAAGTTTATTCTTCTTTATGGCCAAATAGTATTTCATTGTATAGCAAAACCACATTTTATCTATTCATCAGTCGACAAGCATTTGGATTGTTTCCAAGATTTAGCTATTACATACTGTGTAGCTATAAATATGGGTGCACATATAATGCTGCAGTGTGATGCTTTTAATTCTTTTGGGAAGACACCCAGAAGAAGAATAGCTGAGTCAAATGGAATCTCTAAAGCAAGTTTTTTGAGGAGCCTCCACATTGATTTCCACAGTGTTGGCAACGGTCTGCTCTCCCACCAACAGTAGAGAAGGGTTCCTTTTTCACCACATCCCCACCAGCATCTGTTTTTGGTTGATTTCTTGATAGAAGCCATTCTTTCTGGAGTGAGATGGTATCTCAGGTCGTTTTTATTTGCATCTCTCAGCTGATCAGTGATGTTCAATATTTTTTCATATATTTATTTGCTGTTTGCACTTCTTCATCTGCGAAGTGTGTATTCATTACAAATGCCCATTTCTGGATTGGGTCTTTAAATGGGCGGGCTGATTTTTTTCAGTTCTTTGTATGATCTAGCCATGATTCCTTTATCTGAGGGACTAAGACTAGAATTTTTTCCCACCTTATGGGTTGTCTCTTCACTCTGTTGGAGAATCTCTCCCAATCTCAGGCCCTCCCTCTGTTCCATTGTGTCCTGACTTATCCTGGACTCAGGACGTACTCTGACGTCAGGGTTTTCTTCCATGGTGTACTGACTGCACACATGCTTGATCTCACTTTCATGAGGAACACACGGGAAGAGTCCACAGAATCCAGTAAGATCCCCGGAGCATCTCTGTAAAGCTCACAGCAAGCTCTGCTTAAATGCAATCCTTACTCAGGTTAGGTCAGGTGACATCCTGGGAAAGACACTGATCTAGAAGTCACTGAATTACTGTCGTCTGGCTCCACCCATACAGTTGCAGATTAGTTTTCCGTTGTCACTTTCAACTCTTAGGGTGGGCAACAGAGCAGGAGCCAATCAACGGGACACTATAAACTGTCCAATCAGGTGGGCCGTAGCAAGAGGGCTGTTTCTTGCCTCGGTTTGGAAGTCTTGCGATCCTTGCTGACTTCCCGCTGGCTAGATCACCTCGCTCGGTGAATTTTGCCAGCTACGAGCAGCGTGGGACACACTCTGGAAGCCACGCAATGGTAACGGTGTGGGATGGGTGTGCTGAGGTGGGGTGGGATGAGTTTAAGGTTTGTTTATGGAAGGGGCCAGAAGCAGCAGTGGGAGACTCTTGTTCCCAGTGTCTGCTCCGGAGTCAGCTTCAGTGGACTCACTCTCCCCTTCCTCCCCTCAGTTACTGGAAAGCAGGCTATCTAATGGGATGCTACCGCGATCACTCTATCTCGCTGCCCTAGAAGAGACTGGAGAAAATGCCACAGATACATCTGTTTTTTGGTGCAGTTTCTGCATTTTCATCATAACGTACACTATCCACACCAGAGATAGCAGTTCTTCCTTCCAGTTTCTCTTAACCGTTAACATTAGACTTTTTCTAATTTGATTCACAACAAAACTCAATTGCTTATTTTCCATTTTTTTTGTTTTTATGCCTCATTTTACGCCTTCTTTTTTCATTTTACTAAGCTCTTCTTTACATTTTTTACTTAAACATGTGTTTGTATTTGTGAAGATTCTTTTTATTTGTTTCTTTGGATACAATACATTATTTGTTTTTCTAGGTATTTCTTTATTACCTGTGGAAATTAAAAAAAAAAAAACTTCTCCAAATTTTCATTTTCTTGTTAACTTTGGCCAGTATTTCTTTGCTGTGCAGAAATACTGTTATTCTTTTTGCATTTTAAAGTAACCTTATTTTATAATTTTCTGGAATCTATCTGGATTGCACCTTAAAAAGACTGTGGTGCAAAGATCAGATTCATTTGACCTAAAAAATGAGCAGTTTCACCACTACAAGGAATGATCATTTATCTCTTCTTCTTGAAGAAGTACTGCCAACTTTTTTCAATATGTTTTGAGTAAATCAGAAGTATATTTAAAATTTCTTATAAATTTTATGTGTTTATATATTGTCTGAGATTCAGATTTAAATACATAGCATGTTCCACACAATGAGAGGGGATGCCTCACCCCTTTTTGTTACTTCTCCTGAGGTTAGATTTTCATCTAGGATTAGTAAAAAACAGACAAACAAACAATCTAAACCAATAAAAAATTAGAGATATAAAGTTAGGAGAAACAAAATCTCTTTTTTTGAATACAGAGCAAATCACTTTATTGGAAAAAAGGAGAGATGAACAGCAGTTACGTTCAAGGCCTAGTGAAAAGACTCTGTGCATTTTAGTAATTTAATATAGTGAGAGAATGTTGAAATATATATGGGTGTGGGAGTGTCCAGGTATTAGTGTATTAATATCTAAGTGAGTTATAAAACAGCCCTCCCTCATTTAGTTTCTTTTGTGCTTAACTGGAGGTGGAGGGAGAAAGGAATTGAGCCTTATCAGCTCTCTCTGTTTTCTTAGCTACTCTCCTTAGAAGGGGATTAACTCTTTTATTTGCCAGAATTAATTTTCCCTGCCTGTCCCCCAACTTTCCCTACATTTTCTCTCTTTATTTGAAATCTGAAAAATATAGCACTGTCATTTGTTTTCAGGAGAGAGCTTAGAAGATCATCAAATTTATAGCTTGATTCACTGGTATTAAGTATATGATTGTATTCAGTATGTAATTTGAAGAATTTGTAGCACATTACATCATCACACCCAAGGCTCTAAATTATTCCCCATGTATTCACATTATCTCTAATTTTATATTAATGTTTTTAGTTTCTCTTTGAAGATTTTGCAGATTTCTAATGAGGTAATGTATAAGTTTGTAAAGTCGGATGTATAAATGAGTGGTGGTGTAGAAGATCAGTTCTCAGTGTGAAGGCCTTATTTTCTAGCAGAAGATGAGAAGTTATTCTCTGCAGTAAAACATCTTCTTGGCATAGACTGAATGGGGTAGCAGAACGGAATGAGCATCTAGTTATTTTTTTTTCCTCATCGAGTTTATTGGTACATTTTAGGTATACAGTACAGTTACATTCATTATTGGGATCTTGTACCTTTACATGACAGGAATTGGTTCTCTTCTCATTTTTTCCCCTTGTCCCTGCCCTCCCTTCACCCTCTAGTTATTTTTTTTTAAAGCACGCATTTGAAATCTTTGCTAAAATCTTAAGGTGAATTTTCAAAGTAAATGTATGTTAAATTACTTTTTTCTAAAATATTAACTATATCACATGTCATCGATCTATACTTCTACTTTCTGATTCTACTAATAAACACTTTTATTCTTTTCCATTTTAACTCTAATATGGTAAAAACTGGTGATGTAATAAATGAGCAGATGACTAGTAGGTTTCTCTGTAGTGAATGTATATTGTCTTTGAGAGCTAAAGAGGAGTTATTTCTTTGTAATTTATGCTTTTATTGGAAATCATCAAGCTTTATTATACTGAGATAATTTAGTGAATATTAATACTATGAGAACCACTATGATTTTTTTCCAATTGATCCTGTGTTTGGTAGCATAGGTCTCCCTGTCATTGTTCTAAAATGTCATTTTTCTAACATCTTGATTACTCCTTCATAGACAGTGACTTTATTTCTTTCATTTGAATCCTTATGTCATTTATTTCTGTGCTCTTGCTTTATAACATCACATAAGTTTGGTTTCATGTGACTGCATAGTGGTGACAGTGAATATACTTGTTTCTGATTTTTATATAACACCTGTTCAGTGTCTCTGTTCTGAATCCCATGTGCTTGTTTTATGGTATATGTGCTTTACTTTGTTATTAATCTTTAAATGTTGTCTTTTTTAGAGGCCTTTAAGAAACAGTACAAATTAAATTTTAGAAAAAAAAATATATATACCAAGATTCAAATAATTAGATGAGGTTTTCCTTTGTGGCTTTTTGCACTGAATTTTATTACAGGTTTCTGATACTGAAGCATCCTTATCTTTGATTAACTAAATGCCACCTTATTATGATGTGTTTGTGTGTGTGTGTGCATATGCATGTGCATGCGTGTGCGCCTGGTACTGTGGATTGAATCCAGGAATCACCCAGTCTAGGTGCACATGCTGTCATTTAGCTAACGTGTTCTACTACAGCCTCCTGTTTGACTAAATATTTCATCTTATATGAAAAATCTACATGGCTAAGTGTAATGTATCTATAATTCACTGTTTTTATAAACACTTATCTGGTTGTAGGTGAAGACTGCATTAATCTGGTGGAATGCACTGCGGAGTATTCTTACCTTGTTTTCTTGGGTTACATACACATGAGCCCATGCCTTCCTGAATATAACTTTTTTATTATAATATGCTTTATTCACATCATCTATAATATACATAAATACTTTGTTGTAAAATGGCACATGTGCATATTACATAATAAAAGTTTTGAGGAATCCCCTGTAGACCTACTAGGAGATGAATTTATAATAGGAAGTGCCTGATTGTCACTTCAGTTTCTTGCCACCTTGTTTAATTTTCCAGAATCCTGATTTTAGTATCAGGTTTGAAGTTTTACATATTTCTAAGAATTTATATGGTGTCTAAAATTCATTAAATCATAATTTTGATGTATTTTCTTGTTTCTTAATATAACATTGGTTAGCTGGATACAGTGGTACACATCTGCAATCATATCAATCAGAAAGCTAATGAAAGATCAAAAGTTTATGGCCTGCCTGTGCTACATAGTGAGGCATTTTCTCATAATTTATAATGAACACAACCTTTGTAATTATTTCTCATTTTCATTTTGTTATTTATGATATCATTATTATATTGATTAATATTTCACTAATTATTGGTTGCATATTTTTGATGAAATGTTTTGCTGAATCTATTTCTTATATTTAAATGAAAGTACTTCTATTTCAAAACTTTATATTTTATACTAAATTTGTCACCTAATTCTTTATATTTCCAAATTTGTTTCATGAAACAATGGATTATTTTAATTTACTTTATATAAGTAACATGTGGGTGTAATTGGAATGTAGATCACTGGTACAGCACCTGCTTCATGTGACTATGAGTCCTTCTAACCACACTTGGAAAACACATGAGATTTTAAAACTTCATGCACAATGATTTCTTTTTTCTTCTTTTCTTTTTTTTTTAGCTAAGTGGATGCATACTGAGGTCATACTCTTTTCAATGATTTCTAATTTTTCTTCATTGCAAGCAATATAATATTTATATTTTGTAATTGAAGAAAGACTTTATATATCCTAACAGAATGATATTTAAGAGTCTCCTGTTTGGGTACATATATGTTTTGTATTTTATAAACATTTGAAATTTATCTAATATGTAGTGTGTGAATATTATTAAGTGCATTAAATAAATAATTCCCATATTGCATTTCTGAAGTCTGTTAAAATTTCCAACATCAGTCCACTACTTAGAATTTAATATTTCTACCTATATCTCAGTGACATTATGCTATTGACTACTTACATTTCAGAGAGTTTTAAAATACATTTCCAATTTTACTTTGATTGTTTAGTAATACAAACTCCTGCTAAATTGTCCATTTGGACCTTGAAATTGTGATCCTCTTGCTTAAGATTTCTTAGAAGCTGAATTTCAGATCCCTTCATTTTCTGCAGAATAGGGAATATGATGTCTGGAGTGAATACCAACAGTGCAGATTTAAAATACATGTAGGTCAATACATTGTAAACAATTAAGAAAAGACAGATTCTCATAGAAAACGTTTTATAAAGCAACACAATTCAAGTGTAGGTTTCTTAGAGAATGCACATTATGCAATGTGTTAAAACCCGATCATCCATTCCATTATTTTTGAATTGATGAGGAAGAAGACTGTAATACCCAACACATTTTTCAGTCACATAGAATAGCTAAATTGCCATTTGAGCTGTGCCACAACCTAAGTTTTCCCATTGTGTTTTCATTCTGTTTGGGTCTCAGCAGGCACAAGAGCCATGTTTGTTCAGAACTGTGGCGCTTGGCTGTAGTTCATCCTCTTAGCTTCTTTGTTTTCCCATGGCAGCTCCAGCTAGCTCTCTTCCTCTGGGCCTGCTAATGTATCTGTTCCACTGCTGAGGAATATGCTAGGAGATGAATTTAGTCTGGAAGGCTCTTGATTGACACT